CCCTAAAGCTGCCATAAACCCCCCCCCCAAAACCTTCCCCCCCCGATCTCTGCACATTCCAGCGATCGCACGTGAACGCGGCTCTGGGCCGGCGTGCGCGCGCTCGACCGGCTACGGCAAAACGGAAAACGGCCTCACCTGGCGCAATGGGATCCGCGTCCTTTGCGCTCATCGCGTCCCGCAGTCTGACCTCCTCGCGAGCCTGCTCGCCCACGCAGCCACACCACGCAATCTTCCTGACCAGTCCGAGGAGGAAGAGGAAGAGGAGGAGGAGGAGGAGAAGAAGGGGGGGGGGGGGGGAAGTAAGCCGAAATCACCGGCCTCTCTTTGCCTCCAAACGCGCTTTTGGCGTCCGGTTTTTCCCGGGAAATCTGCTCCAAATCTGCTCCAAATCTGCTCCAAATCGGGAAATAAACCAACACGCGCGCGCGTGGGAACGGCCGGGTCGAGGGGAACGTGGAGTCGGATGAGGAGGAGGAGGAGGAGGAGGAGGGAGGAAGAGGAGGAGGGGGGAGAATAGGATGATGTGGGACCCCAGAGTCTGCGCGCCCCTCCCATCCGCGCGCGTGCACGCCCGTCCTGGTCAGGAATAACGTCCGCTGACCGGTCAGAAAAAAAGGGCTGTGAAACACAGCACGAGCTGCATACTGACCAAAGAAAAATGACCATCAAGCAATAAGTTCCAACAAAATAAAGCAGTTGGACGTCAGGTTTTGGCTTTAAAACAACAAAACACTAAATAAATCATTGTCAGATCTATGTATATCTCTATGTAAGAAACAAGATCGAGGAATAAGAATGACATCATTACATCTAAATGAAATAAAGGTGGTGTAAAAAGGGGACCAAGAAAAGAAAAAGGCCAATTTGAATGGAACTAGAACAAAAAATAAACGCAATTCCAGCTATAAGCACATTTATATTGAAATGCTCATCACGTGATGGCCCAAATCATGTTAGGAGGAGTTTAATTTAAACCTGGATGTATACATACAGACCCAAAATGACAAGCTATCCAAACTCTGTTACTGTAAAAAATAATGCTGAATCATAACTGTACAACATGCAAGTAAGCCACTCTCATCACGTTGTTTCATATATTTTATATAGTCAAATTAAAAGAAAATAGGCCATTAAATCTATGCATCTTTTATAGGCATATGATGTCCAGTAGCTTAAACATTTTAAATGCAACTGTCACTGGGTGGATTTTTGTTTTTTTTGTCCTGTCTCTATGGTTGTCATGTCATTTCCTGTTTTATTTTGAAAGGTATCTCCCCTTGTTTCAGGTCTCTTGCTTGTTTCCCCAATTGTGTTCACGTGGGGTTCCCTTCCCTTTGGTTTAAATATTTTGAGTCTCCCCTTGTCTTTTGCCAGTGTTTTTCATAATTTTTCTTCGTATCTATGACTTTACTGAGCATTACCTTGTTTAATCTCGTAAGAGTGATTTTGTTTGATCCTCCTTGTCATTTTGTTAACTCAAGTGAGTATTATTTTGTTACTTTGTTCCATAGCCTTTTTGTCTTCCTCGTTTTTGAGTGATTATATTTGATACTTTGTCCACAGTCTTGTTGTTTAATGTTAACATTTCTGCAGTTTTGATGTGGGTTTTGTGTGATTTAGCAAAAACCTGAAAAAGCCAAAGAAGCTAGAGGTAAACAGCCTATCAACTCATGGCGAAACTGGGCGAAAATAGAGTGGAGCTTCTCCATTAATACAAGAAAGGAGACTAACAACAAAGTTTATGACAAGATAACTAAAACCTTTTCACTGTATTGAAATGAATGAAGGAAATCTTCAACAAACAAGCTGTGATTAACCTCCGAGCTCTCTTTGACCCTTGTATGTTGACCATTTTGATCTTATCCACCTAATAGGCAGAGATGTTTAAAGTACTGGAGTAGAGGAGTGGACTAGAAGTACAAGTACTATGTAAAAAAATGTACTTGCGTAAAAGTAGAAGTGTTCTTTCAACTCCATACTTAAGTGGAAGTACGGAAGTACTCAATTTTTTTTGTTTAAAAAATTGATACTCAAGTATCGAAAGTCCAAGTAAAAAAAAAAGTCAGTCAAAAGTGTGATAGATATTGTTTATATTATTTCAAACGTGTGAAAGGCCATACAGGTGTTTACAAAAACAGAAAACTACATCTGCATTAGCATCAACAGCACTTCATCTACTATTATTTATTATTCCAGAGTCAGAATCCTGAGCTGAGCCTTTATGCTAGCATGTAGCATACAGCTATCCAGCTAGGTTAGCTTTAGCTAACGTTATCATACAGCTAGCCAGCTAGGTTAGCTTTAGCTAACGTTATCATACAGCTAGCCAGCGAGGTTAGCTTTAGCTAACGTTAGTTGCTACGTCCATAGTGAACAGGGAGAACTGAACTAGCGCTTATTTACTAGCTTATATGTCATTGTATTTTTTAATTTACCTTGATATGCTTCTTTAGATAGATGTGGAATTTTTTAAGGCTATAATTAACCATCTTTCGGGAGGCTTTTTTTAAAATAGGCTATGCTTGATCGTTCAAATCGCCCAATGAAGAGCCAGCTTCACAAACCCTGACAGAGCTATCTATCATTACGCTTACATTTCAGTAACGAGTAACGATTTAGCCCGGGAAAAATCGATCGGAGTAAAAGTATTGAAATAATCAAAAATATGTAGTGGAGTAAAAGTAAAAGTAGGGGAAAAATATCTACTCCAATAAAGTACAGATACTGCATTTTGGTACTTAAGTACTGTCCTTAAGTAGCTCTACTTCGTTACTGAACATCTCTGCTAATAGGGGATCCATGTATCCATTGTCTGTGCCACCTACACATTTTAGGATAAAGGGGGGTAGCTATCATTGGGGAAAGTCGGGGTCCAGCTAAATCAGATGGCTGATGACTATCCAAGATGGCAGTTGTAATTCAGAATCAGCTTAAAGCAGAGCTTAACATTTCTAAGACTCCCTGAAGAGCTCCTAAGGAAGGACTCTTGTCCATCACAGTCGCTTCCAGAGTTAGCTTGTGGAGTGAGACCGTTAAGGACACGGTTGGTTAGGACTCCTGCTCAACATCCAATCAGGATTCCCTTTGGACTGTAAGAGGAATTTAGTTTTTGCTGCCTCCTCTGATCAAACGTATCCAACCGGTTCTCTATCGTTCAGGAACTGATGGCCATGTTCTCCCCTCTGATGGTCAGCCAACACTCATGTTCACAACACAGCTTTTCAGTTTTAACCACGTGCTTCCACACATGTACAAACAATCTCAAATAGCAGCAGGCAGAAACAGTAGAACATCTTCTTACGACTGGCTAAACATATTAATTATCCAACATACCAAGTGAAATTCGATCAAATATCCGCCCTGACACCCGAAGTACATTTCCAACATACAACGTGTATGACGTCAAAGTCATAGAAATAAAATGAAATAAAAGAAATGAAAATTAAATAAAAACAAATAAGCTAAGTTAGTTTAAAGTCCACATAGTGAAAGTTGGAGTATCTCAGTCTCCACCTTTACCTCGTTCGCCAGTCTCTCGACGGTAAACTGCAAATAAAAAAAACTTTTTATCGATTATTTCTTTACATCTCTCATATATAATGCATTTTTTTTATTGCTATGTGTAATAATCTGTAATATTTCTTAAGGGGATATCAGTGGTTTTTGGGCTGTGGATCGAATTATAGCAATTACAGTGTATTCTTATGGGAATAATTGAACCAACATACAGATATTTTAACATACGAAGTATGTCCCAGAATAAATTTAATTTGTTTGTTGAGGTTCTACTGTACCCTCAACCACCCTCATCCACATCATCAAATAGTTGAAGAAACAATGCATCATATCTGGTCCACTCCCACTCCTGGGTTTGGAGACATCAAGTTTGCAGACCATCTACGAAGCAAAATCAATGCTATTAGATCCAGTCTTTTATACCTGAACATTGTTTTTGCCAGCAGAAGCACTTGAGAGTTTTGCCCTGGTTGATGCAGATGCTTGACTGAGTCTTCTCCCACCTAAACCCTACAACCTGCCGTTAGGACCCAACATCTACATGGCTTTTTAAGACATTTCATAGTTTCCTTGAGTATTAGACTTCAGACATTGTGAATTACCTGTAAAACTGCTGTTGTGAAGCCTTTCTAAAGAGGAACAATTAAGATAACTGCTACCCTGTATCCAACTTCCAGTTGTTTCCTATCCAATTTAATGAGTTTTTGAATAAGTCTGTTTTAGGAAGAACCACAGAACAGATTGTAAATTACCTCAGATGAAACGTGGACTCACAGAAACGTTCAGTCTGGTGCTGGTGGATCTTAGTGCAGCTTTTGATACAGCAGATCACCAGATCTTATTAAACAGACCGAGAAGTGGGTGGGTGTCTCTGATACTTTTCTTAACTGATTTTACTCCTATCACACAGATAGGCAGTTTTTCGTAAGTATGGTTGCCTTCTCCTCAGAGGGTTCTGGGTTGGAGTCCCGGGGGAACCAGGACCAGAGGGTTCTGGGTTGGAGTCCCGGGGGAACCAGGACCAGAGGGTTCTGGGTTGGAGTCCCCGGGGGAACCGGGACCAGA